CTCAGGCCTGAAATAGCCAATCAGGTTGTGACACAGCTCCAGGGAGGGGAGAATCTTATCTGCTGCCTAATAAGAAGGGCCAAACACAAAGGCCATAGAGTTTTTCTGGCTCCAGATCTCTTACTCTCTCTCACAGGGTAGCTTTCTGTACCTTCCTTTCTACCTGTCTTTCAAATAAAATGCTTTTTTTTTTTTTTTTTTTGGTACCAGGCATGGAACTCAGGACCTTATGCTTGCAAGGCTGGCACGATTCCACTAAGCTAAATCCCTAGCCCTAAACTTTATATTTCTAATTCTTTGTTGATATAAGTTTATGATTCCTGGTTGGCTACAATGTTACAGTGTGGTTCACATTCCCTGGACACAAGAGTGCTAGTTTATGGATCAAAAGAAAGAAATGGGATTTAGCTCAGTGGTGCTGTGCTTGCCTCGCAGGCACAAGGTTCAGTTCAATCCCCGGTGCCAAAAAAAAAGGAACAAGTAGGAATCCCTATTGACTGGATCAGGGACTACAAATTCAGCTCTGAGAATGGACTGCATTTTACTTGTGCAGGATTCCACAGCATGCTACCTTGCAACATTTCACTATGATAAAAATTAAACATATAGAAGAATAACTGGAAGAACTCTACAGTGAACAGCCATTTACCTGATAGAGAGATTTTTTGTAAATAATCTAAAAACCTACAAAATATTAGGAAAATGTAGAATGACTTCTTCTGTCTCTAACAGCAATCTGCTTTGTTTAGTTCAAAATTAACAGACACCAGAGGCATTAACCATAGAATGGGACATTTGGCCTCATCCTGAGATAACGGCACATCAAGACCCCAAGCTCCAAGGTTCTGTAAACTGCATGATTGTAAAAGTGTCAAGATGAAAAGAACAATTGCTAACTTTGCTTTCCTGATGCTGAACACCCTCTTCCTGTGGCTAGAATAGATAGCTAGATGAATCCTAAAGGTAAACTTCCTATCAAGAATTGCTAGTGGCCGGGCGTGGTAGCGCACGCCTACAATCCCAGCTTTCGGTAGGCTGAGGCAGGAGGATCGCTGTGAGTTCGAGACCAGCCTGAGCTACATAGTGAGTTCCAGGTCAGTCTCAACTACATAGTGAGACCCTGTCTCGAAAAAAAAAAAAAAAAAAAAAAAAAAGAATTGCTATGTCTGGGTTAAAAGTTAACTGTCTTGTGACTATGATTTGTACATCGGTAATATAAACTGAGGATTGAAATCATGGCTATAAAACCCTACAAAAGAAGAAGCTGTACGGGCTGGGGATTTAGCTCAGCGGTTTGGTGGCCTGCCTTGCAATCACAAAGACCTCAGTTCAATCCCTGGTACCAAATAAATAAATAAATAAATAAAATGAGAAGAAGCTGTAATCCAGCGTGGGGTCCATCACTGTCTCTGCTTTTAGTGTGATA